CCTCCTCCTCATATCTGCAAGTCCTCTTACACTGTGCCCCCTGCAGCCCTTTCTTCTTCTTTTTCTGCCTTCTGTCCTCCAATGGAGCATAGGCTGTCATCCAACTCAAACTAATTTGTTTTATCCTTTACTGTTGCATGCAGCTCACCTCATGCTCCCCCCCCCCCCCAATCTTTTTTACCTTCACTCTATAGCTCCCTTCTCCATGTGGTTTTTTTAATATTTTTTGGTCTGCCTTTATTTCCTCTGGGTTCCACTGAAAGACAGTCTAGTTATATTGTTCTGAGGTTTTCTCACCATGTGACCAGCGCCAGCAGTTTTCTTCACCTCTTGGCCCACTGGAACTTGTTTAGTGCTCTCCCAAAGCTCAGCACAAGTGAATATAAACAGTTTAATTCCCTCTGTTCTACAGCCCTGTGTTCTACATCCCTCTGTTCTACAGCCCTGTGTTCTACAGCCCTCTGTTCTACAGCCCTCTGTTCTACAACCCTCTGTTCTACAGCCCTCTGTTCTACAACCCTCTGTTCTACAGCCCTGTGTTCTACAACCCTCTGTTCTACACCCCTCTGTTCTACAACCCTCTGTTCTACAACCCTCTGTTCTACAGCCCTCTGTTCTACAGCCCTGTGTTCTACAACCCTCTGTTCTACACCCCTCTGTTCTACAACCCTCTGTTCTACAGCCCTGTGTTCTACACCCCTCTGTTATACAGCCCTCTATTCTGCAGGCTTTTGCTACATATAAATTCTGTCTAACCACTAAAATGTCCATGTCTTCTGTCCACAGATGTAAGAAAGGAGAATTGTTCGACTATCTGACCTCTGTAGTCTCATTATCTGAGAAACGAACAAGGTAATAGGATAATAATTTTTATTATTTCCTTCCATGTTGATGTGGGTTCCTGTCCCCATTGGGGGGGGGGGGGGGGGGTGTGTTGGGTATGGGGTAGACCACTTCCCTTAACACAGCTCGTTGTGTCCTTTAGATGACTATTCATGTGGCAGACCCAACACCAGTATTGTTTGGTTGTTTGTGATTACACTAGCAGTTGTACGTTCAGCTGTTTACCATTGTTTACTTAACGGTCAGACGTCAATACCACTGTTGAAACCAATGGAAGCTGTCTTCTGGAAGATCGCTTCCTGCTGGGATCAAACCAGGCACCTCGGAATTACAAAGCCCGTGAGCCACAGGCACCAACTCCCCTAACTTTCTTGTTGTAGAAAGCGCCTAATTTAGGCTAATCGGATGTGTTGGTCAGAAAGACACAGGTATTCTCTCATTTTCTCTTTCAGTTCAACCCTTAGTTGACCTCTTGCAATTTAATCAGGGTTGGCCGATTCTATTTTAGGCAAGGTTGACCTTTTCCATTTAAGGCAGGGTTGACCTCTTATATTTAACCACCACATCGTCAGTCTCCTTTTATCGGATCAACACTGCAGGAGTCCCTTTCGGGGCTGTTGGTTTCGTGTAGTGCTAAGACATTTTATATGGCATACATAACCTAGACACAATTATAATATAAAGCTCCTCTTTTGTGGATGCTGGTTAAACATGATTTTTTTTTTTTCAACAAATCACTTACCTACCTACCTTCCATTTAAGGTGTGGTTGAACTTTTCCATTTTAGGCGGGGTTGAACTTTTTTTTTTCCATTTTAGGCAGTGTTGAACTTTTCCATTTTAGGCATGGTTGACTTTTTCCCTTTTAGGCATGGTTGACTTTTTCCATTCTAGGCAGAGTTGACCTTTTCTATTTTAGGCATGGTTGACTTTTTCCATTTTAGGCATGGTTGACTTTTTCCATTTTAGGCAGAGTTGACTTTTTCCATTTTAGGCATGGTTGACTTTTTCCATTTTAGGCAGAGTTGACTTTTTCCATTTTAGGCAGAGTTGACTTTTTCCTTTTTAGGCAGAGTTGACTTTTTCCATTTTAGGCAGAGTTGACTTTTTCCATTTTAGGCAGAGTTGACTTTTTCCATTTTAGGCATGGTTGACTTTTTCCATTTTAGGCATGGTTGACTTTTTCCATTTTAGGCAGAGTTGACTTTTTCCATTTTAGGCATGGTTGACTTTTTCCATTTTAGGCAGAGTTGACCTTTTCTATTTTAGGCATGGTTGACTGGGGCACATAAGTCAATTGTAAAGAATCCGCTTCTGTGTGGATGTGAATCTAAGACCTTTAAGCCAGCAGGTGAGTCTCTAACTGCTGCACCACCACAGCTCTAACATTCAGGTTGCCTGAGTCATAAAAGGGGTTGGCAGTAATCTTGTGTGTGAAAATTAGATGTGGAATTAGTTCCTCTACTTATTTTTGGTATGGAATTAGGTTATCTTTTTACTTTGGATGTGGAATTAAGTCCTCACCTTACTTTGAGTGTGAAATTAAGTCATGTCCTTACTTTTAGTTGTAGAATTAGGTGATCTCCTTACTTTGGGTGTGGAATTATGTCCTGTCCTTACTTTTGATGTGGAATTAGTTCCTTTCCTTACTTTGTGTTTAGGTTCCTCTCCTTACTTAGAATGTGGAATTAGTTCTTCTCTTTACTTTAAGTGTGGAATTAGCTTCCTTTCCTTACTTTGGATGTGGAATTAGATCATAACCTTACTTGTGGGTGTGTTATTAGGTCCTATCCTTACCTGTGGTTGTGGAATTAGGTCCTCTCCTTACTTTGAGTGTGGAATTAGGCCCCCTACTTACTTTGGCTGTGGAATTAGTCCTTCTACTTACTTTGGATGTGGAATAAGTTCCTCTCCTTACTTTAGATGTGGAATTAGATCCTCTCCTTTCTTTGTGTTTAAATTAGGTCCTCTCCTTACTTAGGATGTGTAATGAGTTGCTCTACTTACTTTGTGCGTGGAATTAAGTCCTCTACTTACTTTAGATGTGGAATTAGTTCCTTTCCTTACTTTGAGTATGGAATTATATCATCTCCTTACTTTGGATGTGGAATAAGTTCCTCTACTTCCTTTGGGTGTGGGTCCTCTTCTTACTTTGAGTTTGGAATTAGATTTCTTTCCCTACTTTGGATGTGGAATTAGATCCTTTCCTAACTTTTTGGGTGTGGAATTAGGTCATGTTTTAAATTTTTTTCTGTAACAGTTATTTAATTATTGTTATTATATTAATTACTTGAACCCACAACCTTTGGAAATGCAGGAGAGTGTCTTTTCACTACATCACGGCAGCTCCCAGCCCCTAAATTCATCAAGGCTTTTCTAAACAATTCAGCTGTGGGATCTACCCAGCCTAAGAAAAATGGGTTCCAATTACAGGGATTAGCTGGGAAGAAAATGGGACAGGGACGGGAATCAATCACCCTGTCTCATATGTCATGACCTAATGGGTGAAGTCTTAGCACTTCTTACCCCAGCAGCAGACTATGTTCTTTGGATATTTTCACTGGGAAAATGCAGGAGTTTTGGGAGATGAACAAGAGAGACAGATTGGCTGGTTTTTCTGCACCAGTGTATGGTTACTTCTCATGACGTGTTGGATGTGTCAAGGCCCTTTAGAGCAAATGGACAGAACGGAGGCACAAATAGATCATTATAGTCAGTAGAAAATGGTACAGCTATGAGTGTCTGGAGATCAGGTCGACAGTCTACACTCGGAGGAAATGCAGTTACACTCAGAGGAAATGCAGCTACACTCAAGGGAAATGCAGCTACACACGGAGGAAATGTAGCTACACTCAGAGGAAATGCAGCTACACTCAAGGGAAATGCAGCTACACACGGAGGAAATGTAGCTACACTCAGAGGAAATGCAGCTACACTCAGGGGAAATGCAGCTACACACGGAGGAAATGTAGCTACACTCAGAGGAAATGCAGCTACACTCAGGGGAAATGCAGCTACACTCAGGGGAAATGCAGCTACAATCAGAGGAAATGCAGCTACACTCAGGGGAAATGCAGCTACAATCAGAGGAAATGCAGCTACACTCAGGGGAAATGCAGCTACACTCAGGGGAAATGCAGCTACACTCAGAGGAAATGCAGCTACACTCAGGGGAAATGCAGCTACACTCAGGGGAAATGCAGTTACACTCAGAGGAAATGCAGCTACACTCAGAGGAAATGCAGCTACACTCAGGGGAAATGCAGCTGCACTCAGAGGAAATGCAGCTGCACTCAGGGGAAATGCAGCTGCACTCAGGGGAAATGCAGCTGCACTCAGAGGAAATGCAGCTACACTCAGAGGAAATGCAGCTACACTCAGGGGAAATGCAGCTACACTCAGAGGAAATGCAGCTACACTCAGGGGAAATGCAGCTACACTCAGGAGAAATGCAGCTACACTCAGGGGAAATGCAGCTACACTCAGAGGAAATGCAGCTACACTCAAGGGAAATGCAGCTACACTCAAGGGAAATGCAGCTACACTCAGAGGAAATGCAAGGTGAACATATAGTCAGATGTATGCTGCTGGCACCGTCGGAGCTAGAACTCTTTACTGGCTGCTGAAAATGAAGACAGAGTACTTATGGGAATGTCCCGAGTGCTGTTATGTGAGTTCTTAGCTCAACACTCAACACAACACTTATTCCATCCATAATATCAAATGGCTTGTGCAGGATAGACTGCAATGGAACGGACAAACAAACTTAATTTTTAAAGAGTCACAAACTGGGCACGTAGGCCTATGTTAAATTCGGCCCTTCCAAACACTCATCTTCTACACAGCAATTGTATTTTATCAGTAAAGCATATTATGTTCATATGATAATATGCATGTAATGAATAACAAGAATAAACACACAAAATGGGTAGTAAAATGCATGCTCACACTCGCATGCATACACACACACACCCCCACTCACTTACTAACTTACACACACATACATACACACCCACACACAAACACCCATAATACATCATGGAGAAATATACAGCGAGCCCTGTGTGACATATAACACGAGTAGATGATGATTGATGTGTATAAGTACAATTCTATCCTATTCACTGATTCTACGTCATCTATTTTGATCTCTTATAGAATATTTATGCGACAACTATTAGAATCAGTTGACTATTTCCACAACAAGAACATCGTACATCGAGACCTGAAGGTGAGTACCAGCCAGAGAGCTGTCAGTGTACTTTCTTGATTCTCTCTTATAATTATGTATACAGTAGATTCCTCCAAATTTGGAATGCATCTGCCTGATAGATGAGAAACCAACAGTCTGCATACAAGTAAGCCAGATCTGTGAAACGTGCAAATAGAATTCAAATTTTGGAGCAAGACAAAAGTCCAGAAGTAGACAACAGCCAGAACTTTCCACCGCAGTTTGTAGCCGGTAAATGTGAAGATGATATTTGCAGTAGAAATGTAGAAATTTGCAAAACATGTATCTCTTGCATCTCAGTGTCCATATATTTAAGTAAATGTTCTCTTTTCAGCCGGAGAACATTTTGTTGGATGATTTCCTGAATATCAAAGTCTCAGACTTTGGGTTTGCTACCATTGTCAAGAGTGACCAAGAGCTGACAGGTCTGTGTCGTTGTGTTTCTTGTTCATGTCATTTTTTTTTTTAGCTTCTTCATGTCAGATTTTTAGTAGATATTGCCATATTTTTTTATTTCTTAGTGTCATAAATTTTTTTTTCATGCCAGATTTTTTGTTCCTGCTAGCAGTATGATTTTCAATCCATCTGGTTTACAGTGGAGAACAGAAGTGTAATTTGTCCTTCCGAATAATAATTTGTGTCATGTTGGGGCAGATGGTTGCAGAGAGAGAGAGAGAGAGAGTATGTGTGTGAGTGCATGCGTGTGTCCATGCATGTGTGTGAGTGAGAGAAAGAGAGTATGTGTGTGAGTGCGTGCGTACGTACGTGCATGTGTGTTAGTGAGAGAGAGAAAGAGTTAAGTAGTGTATGAAAGTGGACTTGTGTGTGGTGTTTGCACTTTGTGTGTGTAGCGGGTTGAGAGGGGAGACAGGTGATTTCAAAGTTTCTAGTAAGTGATAAGTGTGGATGAATAGATGCCCAGTCACCTTTACTTCCCAGGACATTACCTTGTACCTGTTTTAGACTGGGTGGACATGGGACGCAAGGTAAAATTTGAAGCGCATATGTGGTTTTGAAACCTCGACCATCGGGCTGGATGCAAATGCCAAGCTGCTATACCACAGACGCATTGTTCTGTTCAGAAGTGCAGTTATTATGATGATCCCTGGGGATCAACGCTAGAGTTATGGAGCTATTGCTGTGTGCAACGCAAAGCTTGTGTTTCTGAATGACCCTGAAAGCAATGCCTGCAGAAGCTTTGAAACCAGCAGGGCAACAGGTGGTGAAAAAGAAAGTATCTTCCAGATTGGGGTTGAAAGCACTGGAGCGACACTGCCGCCATTGCTGAATCCAGTTTTCCTCACACAGCAGATATCTAAGCCTCAGAAGTGGATGTATAACAATCAGACATTCAGCATGTCCTTTACAGAACATGGCTCTCATCACTTGAAAGTTCCTCTTTCTGTAGCCAATTCTCCAGCCCTGTGTGCTTTTATAGCCAGTGGGTCTTCAGTCTCCTATATCTTCCCAGAGGTCAGCCTCTGCTTCAGAAACAGCGCCTTCCATCACCATTTTCTCTCCAGACCGCCTTTGTGCTTTGACATTTCTAAAAAACTTGAGCTTTCCAGCCAGTTCTCCTTGATGTTCAGGTCGACATTTTTCTTCTTGGTTCACGTTATTCTACGAATGTTTCTGTAGCATTTCTGTTCAAAGGCTTGTTTCTGTTTTTCAGACTGAGTTAGAGTCTATGAGTTGTCCATAAGTTGTCACATGGGAAAGATGCGCGATCTCAATAATTGTTTCTTCTACTTGCTCACAGGAGCTGTGCTAGTCTTCATGCTGTTTAGCTTCTGCATTGCTAAAGCAAGTCTTTTTCTGACTTCTTTTGTGCACTTGCCATTGTTGTTCATTCATCGTCTTCTTCTTCTGCTTCTTCTTCCTCATTTTCTTCTTCTTACACTTCTTCATCTTTTTCTTCTTCTTCATCTTCTTCTTTTTCTTCTTCTTCTTTTGCCTTGTGTCCCCCATTGGAGCATAGGCTCTTAGCCAACTCACGCCAAGTCATTCTATCCTAATTTTGTTCATTATCGACCCTAATAAAAAAAATCTATATATGTGTGTTTGTATGTTCATGTGTGTGGAGGTGCATCACTAGGATTTTTTTATACACCTGGTTAATGTTGTTTGTTGTGTCTTACCTCTGATAATTTGTTGTTGTGCACCTGGTTAATGTTGTTTGTTGTGTCATACCTCTGATTATTTGTTGTTGTGCTCATGATTAACGTTGTTTGTTGTGTCATACCTTTGATTATTTGTTGTTGCATTGTGCTCCTGGTTAATGTTGTTTGTTGTGTCATACCTCTGATTATTTGTTGTTGTTTTGTGCTACTGGTTAATGTTGTTTGTTGTGTTATACCTCTGATTATTTGTTGTTGTTTTGTGCTCCTGGTTAATGTTGTTTGTTGTGTTATACCTCTGATTATTTGTTGTTGTGTTGTGCACCTGGTTAATGTCCGTTTTGTTGACAGAACTGTGTGGTACACCTGGTTACCTGGCCCCGGAAGTTCTAGCACAGTCTATGTATGAGAATGTCCCAGGATATGGCAGAGAGGTCGACATGTAAGCCTGATGTCTCCGTGTTTTCTGTTTGATTCTGATTTTCACTTTCTTGTCTGGATATACTATAAATTGGGACCTCTGGCCAGAATGGTCAGTAGCTGGATGGCTGACCACTGAGGGTGTGAAAAGTTATTTTTCATCATGTTTTGCTGATACAAATTCTCTATTTCTGGACCAGGAATCCAGATGTTCAGTTTCTTGACTCTGAGTTCAGTCCTTGATGTGACACTGTGAGCTATCGATTTTATGTGAAATGTTTTTTTCCCTATTGCGCACTGCAGGTGGCTGATTACGCTCAGAATGGCATGTATTTTTGTGGCTGCAAAGCTGGTTTTCATGATTGATCATTGGTGCCAACAGTGAATTGCAGACTAATAACTTATATTCTATAAAGCTCCCTGTGTGGGGTCTGTGGCACCATTTTGATGCAGCTCAAGTTTACTCCTGAATGTCAAATCTGACTAGGCTCAAAGACAGCAGCTCATGTCTGTGTTTGAAATATTCTATGTGATTTCGTTCTCTGACCCAATTTGAGATTAAAAAAAAAAAAAAAATACCCACTGCTCTATCACAGGCATGTCCTCAAAGACAGCTAATTAACTCTTTCAGTCTTTTAACATCTCATTGGGAACATCTAACGAGAATTTAGCCACCAGGAATAAAGCATGCAAGCATAACTTTCATGGGGCAGCATATAACTTGGAACCTAAAACATACTATGTTGAATATTAAGATAATGTGTCAGATGTTTGTCTTAACGGTCGATTTATATTACACTTTGTTTAAGACACATGAACATAAACTGATCACAAATTATGGTTTGGTTATGAGTGAAAGAGTTAAGGGTTTTCTGAAATCAACATTTGTCTTCTTCTTCTTCTTCTTCTTCTTTTTTTCTTCTGCTTCTTTTGTTCGCTTGAAATAGATTATCTATATTTGCAATGTTGTCTGTAGTATGAAGAAGTCGAATATGTTTGGGTTAAAGATGCATAGATCACAACTTCAAATCACAACACAACATGTGCAACAAAATCGGTTGGGCCTTAGAAAGCTAGAGAACCGCCAGGGATTCTGTGTTGTTAATGCTAAAATAAATAGGTTTTGACCCTGTGGAGATTCTCAAAAAGCGAAATCCTTTAAAAACAACAATTTTACAGTCACCAATGCTGTTTCTTAAAATTGTTTATGTACATTTTTTTGCTTTTTCCCCCAGAAATATAGACAGATATAAATGTGTATGGAGTGAAGCATTAAATGAAATACAATTGCACAGGGCCTAAAAATATATGTATTGATAACTCATATCTGTCACAGGTTTTCATGAAAATTTGACATCAACTTTCCTTTAAAAAATTGTTTGTTAGGACCCCCCCCCCCCCCCCTTTTTCCCCCCCCCCCCCCCCCTCCCCCTCCAAATGCTATTTTTGTAAGATATTCACAACCAGACCTCAAACATAGGTATGAGCACTGCTAATAGCATTAAGAATACATCACATGAACAGGTAACTGTAGACAAGTCGGAAAAGTGACATTTATGGGGAATTGGTCCCATCCAGAAGTGTCAATTTTGCGGCTTCTCAAGTGATAGGGATAAATAGTTTGAGTTGTTTATTTCTGTGTTTTCTTGTTGTTCTGTCTGTTGGTGACTATTTCTAGCTCAAGCTTTTTTGTTTGGTGTACAGGTGGGCCTGTGGAGTCATTATGTACACACTGTAAGTATTTTATAAAGAATGATTTTGAGAATATATATTGAGATTGTGCACCGAGGTAATTGTACACTTGGGAGATCACATGCCAAATACATCATGCACTGGGAACTCCATACAACATAGAGAAGCCATAAACCAGGGAGATTATTCAATACATTGTAACCACACAACGGAGAGATCTTGCAACTTATAGTAGCCATGCAACAGGGTAACTGTTTACTGGGAATATCGTACAACGTAGTCATTCACTGCAGAGATAATACAAGAGCGTAATCATTCACTGCAGAGATAATACAAGAGCATAATCATTCACTGCAGAGATAATACAAGAGCGTAATCATTCACTGCAGAGATAATACAAGAGCGTAATCATTCACTGCAGAGATAATACAAGAGCGTAATCATTCACTGCAGAGATAATACAAGAGCGTAATCATTCACTAAGGTAGATCACATTCCAGGAAAATTGGACAGCAAAGTAATTTACACGGAGGAGATCATATAGAACAGAGATCTTATGCCGGTGAGATCATATAACAGGGAGGTTTTACAACAGAATAATTATACCCTGCAATGAGGCTGTTTTAGAGAGTATAGCATAAGTAGTGTAGCTGGTTAGAGAGTATAAGACTGTGTCAGAGGGAATCCCTAATTAGCATAATTTACAGACGCAAGGCTTAGCAGAAAACCGGTAGTAAAAGGTAGTTTGAACCCAGTGAGAATGATTTATCATGTGAACTCGTAGAAGACAAGGGAGTGACATTCCTTGTTTTCAAGGCTAATGTCAAGAGGATTGACGTCGTGGCCCAGGGTTTATCCCTTATGGCTTGGTTTCTTTCCGCCGAGAGCATCGCACAGAGCATGAACTCCATAGCTCCTATGACGATCACCAGGAATCTCAATAAAAATTGCACTCGTGTACTGAACGATGCAGCTGTGAAATGGAGCCATGACTTTCAGATCTCAAGGCAGATGTCTTGACCACTTCACAACGAAGACCCCCTTGTGAAAGTGTGAACTATGTTAACAGAATTGCATGCATGGATTCAGGGAGAGAAACAGGTGTGCATTCTGTAATTTAGCACTGGAGGCAATGGATGCGAGTGCCCAAACGAGTGAGCCTGAAGTCTTATTCAGGCATTAACCACCAGAACCTGGGCATTTATGTTAAGATGGATGACTGTTTGAACACCTGCCTCCTGTGTGGAATCAAATGTTTGATTAGAGATGAACTTGCATAGCTTTGTATGTATGCAGAATAAAGCAATGTCAGTAAGTAACTACAGTAACTACAATGACGCAAAGTCAGTAAGTAACTACAGTCTCTATATTAATTTTGCTAGATGATCATCAGTCAGAACCCTAGATGAATCCTTAGGGACAGAAGGTGAACAATATGGAAAGAGTTATTATTTGTCAATATTTATCTATCTTCTTCATCTTCTTCATGTTCATCGGCTGTAAGCTCTGACGGAAAGTTCTGGATGTTCATCCACCTCCGAACTTTAGTCTTGTTCCAGAATCTGAGTGATGCGTACACATCCATTTCATAGATATGGCTTATTTGTATGCAGACTTTTGGTTTCTTGCCTCTCAGGCAGTTGTACTCCAGTGTTGAAGAATGCCCACAATTAATCGACTCCTACAGCCTGCTCATTGTGGCGGCACTGGGTCTATTCTTGTTTTCCCCACACTGGGTTCTTGGAACCCACACAGGGAAATTATTTGTGCTCCAGACAGTCTGTCGTTGACTCTTTTGTGTAATTTAGTCACTGTTGCTACACATTGGTACACTAGAGTCCCAGCCATCATTGAATTAATAATCAGTTATCATAGCACACTGGGCATACCCCTAGGTGCTCTGTCTCCTGCAGCAAATGTCTTAAGGTGTAGATGCTAACTGTTCCTGTAGCACACAGATGAAAAGCTCATTGTTCGTGTCTCTCATACAGTCCTTCTTGCCTGATCTACACCTAATTCCTAATGATGTCCCTACTTACAACACGAGGACGAGCTTAGCATACACTGAAGATGCAATACCAGGGAGATCATACAACAAGGGTAGCATACATCAGCGACAGTCTTTCTTCTTCCTCACGTAAACTCCAGCAGAAGGTTCTGGTTATTCATCGGCTTCTGGACTTTGATTTTCTTCAGAGTGTGAGCTTTATATGTACATCCATTTTACTAATCTGACTTTTTTTATGCAGACTGTTGGTTCCTTGCATCTCAGGCAGAAGCGGTCAGACTTCAGGGGAAGCGCCCCAAATTATTGCCTTGTATGATATGCTTGCTATGGGAGGCAGTGGGTCTATTCTTTTTTTTTTTGGGGGGGGGGGGGGGAGGGCCAAAATAGAGCCCCAGAAATTAGATGAAGGATCAGCAGTGGTGATAGCAAAAAATGAAATTGCAACATAGAGTATGTTTGATTTGTAGTTTTAGTGGTCAATTGTATTGTTCCTTTGATAGGACTTTTATTAAAATCTCTATTATATAAGAGCTGAAACAGTAATCTTGTGTTTAGATTATGTGGGGCGCCACCATTCTGGAACAGGCGACAGATGATGATGTTACGATCCATCATGGCTGCTGATTACACATTCAATAGTCCGGAATGGGATGACATCACTGAGGCACCGAAAAATCTGGTCAGTTTTTGTGTTGTAATAGTGACTATGCTCGCCTGTTAGCACCAAGATAGGGCTTTTTCTTTAACTACAAAGCTTATGGTGTTGGTTATCATATTTATCCACAGCCTTCTGTCTCATGTACTTTCAGTTATTTCTGACACAGATGATCTCCCATGGCATGTTATAAAACTATTCAACATCTTCTCTGTTGGTGTTACTCTGCCAGTCTTCCCTCTAACTTTCCTGCCATTGTGGTGTATTCCAATTTGTTTCTTCTCATGACATTACCAATTAATGTACGTCTTTCCATGACATTACCAGTGCACATACTCCTTCCCATGACATTACCAATGTACGTACTTCTTCCCATGACATTACCAGTGCACAGACTCCTTCCCATGACATTACCAGTGCACATACTCCTTCCTGGGACATTACCAATGTACGTACTTCTTCCCATGACACTACCAATGTACGTACTTCTTCCCATGACATTACCATTGCACATACTCCTTCCCATGACATTACCAATGTACGTACTCCTTCCCATGACATTACCAATGTACATACTTCTTCCCATGACAATACCAGTGCACGTACTCCTTCCCATGACATTACCAGTGCACATACTTCTTCCCATGACATTACCAGTGCACCTACTTCTTCTTATGACATTACCAGTGCACATACTCCTTAGAATGACACTACCAGTGCACGTACTCCTTCCCATGATATTACCAATGTACGTACTCCTTCCTATGACATTACCAGTGCACATACTCCTTCCCATGACATTACCAATGAACGTACTCCTTCCCATGACATTACCAGTGCACATACTTCTTACCGTGACATTACTAATGTACGTACTTCTTCCCATGACATTACCAGTGCACATACTCCTTCCCATGACACTGCCAATGTACTTACTTCTTTCCATGTCATTACCAGTACACATACTCCTTCCCCTGACACTACCAAGGTACGTACTTCTTCCCATGACATTACCAGTGCACATACTCCTTCCCATGACATTACCAATATACATACTTCTTCCCATGACATTACCAGTGCACATACTCCTTCCCGTGACACTACCAATGTACGTACTTCTTCCCATGACATTATCAGTGCACATACTCCTTCCCATGACATTACCAATGTACGTACTCCTTCCCATGACATTACCATTGCACATACTCCTTCCCGTGACATTACCAATGTACGTACTCCTTCCCATGATATTACCAGTGCACATACTTCTTCCCATGACATTACCAATGTACGTACTCCTTACCATGACATTACCAATGCACGCACTCCTTACCATGACATTACCAATGCACATATTTCTTACCATGACATTACCAATGCACGCACTCCTTACCATGACATAACCAATGCACATACTCCTTCCCATGACATTACCAGTGCACATACTCCTTCCCATGTCACTACCAATGTACGTACTTCTTCCCATGACATTACCAGTGCACATACTCCTTCCCATGACATTACCAATGTACGTACTTCTTCCCATGACATTACCATTGCACATACTGCTTCCCGTGACATTACCAATGCACATACTTCTTCCCATGACATTACCAGTGCACATACTCCTTCCCATGACATTACCAATGTACGTTCTCCTTACCATGACATTACCAATGCACGCACTCCTTACCATGACATAACCAATGCACATACTCTGTACCATGACATTACCAATGCATGTAGTTCTCCCTTAACATTACCAATACACATACTCCTTCCCATGACATAACCAATGCACACACTCCTTCCCATAACATAACCAATGAACGTACTCCTTAAAATGACATTACCAATGCATGTAGTTCTCCCTTAACATTACCAATACACAAACTCCTTCCCAAGACATTGCCAATGCACATACTCCTTCCAGTGACATTACTAATGTATAAACTCCTTTGTGTGACATTACTAATGCATATACTTCTTCCATTGACATTACTAATTCTTCCTGTGACATTGCCAATGCACAAACTCCTTCCGATGACATTACTAATGCATATACTTCTTCCTGTGACATTACTAATGCATATACTTTTTCCTGTGACATTACTAACGCATTTACTTCTTCCTGTAACATTACTAATGCATATACTTCTTCCTGTGACATTACTTATGCATTTACTTCTTCCTGTAACATTACTAATGCATATACTTCTTCCTGTGACATTACTAATGCATTTACTTCTTCCTGTAACATTACTAATGCATATACTTCTTCCGGTGACATTGCCAATGCATTTACTTCTTCCTGTGACATTACTAATGCATATACTTCTTTCTGTGACATTACTAATGCATATACTTCTTCCTGTGACATTACTAATGCATATACTTCTTCCTGTGACATTACTTATGCATATACTTCTTCTGGTGACATTACCAAGGCACAAACTCCTTGTTTTGACATTAGCAGTACAGGTACTCCTTCCCATGACATTGCTAATAAATGGCGGATTGACTTCTTTTTCATTTCTTTTTTTTATCTGTCCTGGATATTCTCAAAATTCGTTTACAAACCATATTTCTGCTCTGCTGCTTCCACATAATTTTTTGACTAATTGACTAACTAACTGTCCATGATTCACATCCATGTCTTAGGATTGGTACTAAATAGCTCTTAAGAATTCTCTTCACCTCATTTGGCAAAGATATATTCTATAGAGTTTTCTTCATTTTGTGAAATAGTGATCATGGTCATCAATTATCACCATGATGGGACAGTCTGAGTATTTTTTTTTTCTGATCATATATTCTTCTTCTGCTGCTATTGCTGTATTTGCCGTTACAAGGGCAGTCGTCACACTGTGTAGTGGTTTTACAGCAAGGCTGCAAGTCGTCATGTTGTGTTGTGGTTTAACTGCAAGGCTGCAAGTTGTCACATTGTGTTGTTGTTTTACAGCAAGGCCGCAGGTCGTCACATTGTGTTGTCGTTTTACAGCAAGGCTGCAAGTCGCCACATTGTGTTGTCGTTTTACATTTTAAATTTGTGTTGTCGTTTTACATTTTAATTTTGTGTTGTCGTTTTATATTTAAATATCCGGCAAACTCCCAACCTCTGGAGTGCTGGATTTGGGAAAATACAGGGGTACCACTCACGTTTTCAAGGCTTCAATATCTGCGTTTTTTGACCCAACACATCCAATTTCAACAAACTCCTGATTGGTCGCCTTTTACGAACTGCTTGTTAGGGGGCATTGTGCTCGCCTTTGTTTTTCCCCTCTTAAAATAATGACCTGGAGCCCACATGTGGAATCATACAGAGTGGGCCACATTGCATACAGGAAGCTTGTGGGAAGCAACATTTATTACCAAATATATGGAAAACCCTGCAAATGGACGGTAGTTTCAGTCACCATGTGTTCATTTTTAAAGATTACATTCCTGAGATGGACACCACTTTGATGAGAACATTCTTTGGTTGTGACAGTCATGTTCAGTATAGTGTTTGCAGGGTTTTGGCTGGGATGGCCGCTGTCGTCCTTCGGATGTTGTCCTTTTGTCATTTGTGGTATATGTTGAATGTTGAATTAAGAATAAACATCACAGCACTCGGGACACCCCTATATGCTTTTCCTACCCATCTTCAGCAGCAAGCCAAGAGCTAAGATTCTGATGGTACTAGTAACTGTCTGAATGTATATCCATCTCACCTGTCCCCTGAGTGTCAAGTGTCGGCCAGATCCCCTTGTATCTCACCATTCTCCCAAGACCATAATAATCAATCTGTGCATCGGCACTGTTCACTCTCCCAAAGGGCCCTCACAACATCCAGCTTGTCATCCACCAATTCACCACCAAGTGGTGCAGAACTGGCTAGTCTATCTGCCTGCTCATTTCCCAACCAACAGGCATGACCTGGAGAAAATATCCAAAGAATGCTAACCAGCTAGGACCTTCGAAATGATTCCTGTCACTCTGCATGGAGCATGCCTGTCTCCACCTTTCTCAACATGCTCTGTAAGTCAGTTACAATGACGGCATGTGTGTACAGCTGATTCCAAGTCAGGGTAAGGCAGCAGTGACAACCTCCACCTCATTTGTGGTAGTAGCAGTGAAAGAAACATGTAACAGTCACTCCCATTCTTACACTTCCTATTAAGCTATATTTAAAACATGCACAACAATAATATAAATAAAAATGAGTGTCATCAGTGTGGCCCACACTGTGCAATCGAATCCCCATCAAGGCAGATTTTTAAAATTGGCCATTTGCTTAAAGCTAGTGCATTAGAAAAATTGAGAACAGAAAGTACTCTGGGGAAAGTAATTGCCCAGTCTGATGAGGACAACACCAAGATATTTTGCCCGGACTATACTGGCATGTTTGGGAATGAAAAGGCAGATAGGTTGGCTGGACTGACCTCACTTGAGGGTGTACTGCATCTGTATAAGGCAGAGGTGATCTTTCACTGGTGGGACAAGCTCATTAGTCAACTGGAAGATTTTGAAAACCCTTACCTAGAGAGAATGATGCAGCAAGAAGTGGCAAGATAAGTAGCTAACCAGATGAAGACGGATGCCATCAGGATGGAAACGCTTTGCTGGCTGTTGATGAGGGAGACAGAGCTAATATGGGCTTGTCCTGAATGTTGGATCTTCACTCAGTGAAACCTTTATGTCAGCATCACCTAGCAAGAGATGAGAGGTTCATAATAGCATCATATGCCCAATACGTCTTAAACTGTGGAAACGAATGTTTTACTGGAATGCATGTTAGTCTTTTACTTAGAATATCATTGTGATACAATTAACAAGCTAATGAAAGTAGATCTCTATTTACAATAATAAGAAAGAGACAAACACTGTTCTTTGGCCACATAATAAGAAGAGAGACATTGAAGAACATCTTAACTACTGGAGAGATACGTGGAAAACGTGGTAGAGGCAGACCAAGAGAAATGATGCTAAATGGGCTGAAATGATGGCATAGAGGGATATCATCAAGAGAGCTGTTCTAGGCAATCAGGGATCACCAGTTGGCAGGGTACATGATGATGACAGTTAACAGAATAGTTCCAAATGATTCTCAAACAGACCCCCTATGTCCAGATCTGACCTAACCTCAGACTGACCCACTGTGTCCCTCAGTCCAGATCTGATCCAACTTCAAACTGACCTACTCCTGATGTCCGTTTGTACAGATCTGACTTACCTCAGGCTGACCCACAGTGTCCATCTGTCCAGATCTCACCTAATCTCAGACTGACCCACAATGTCTAGATCTCACCTAACCTTAGACTGACCCACAGTGTCCAGATCTCACCTCACCTCAGACTGATAGGTATGATCTAACCTCAGACTGACCCACAATGTCCAGATCTCACCTAACCTCAGACTGACCCACAATGTCCAGATCTCACCCAACCTTAGACTGACCCACAATGTCCAGATGTCACCTAACCTTAGACTGACCCACAATGTCCAGATCTCACCTAACCTCACACTGACCCACAATGTCCAGATCCCACCTAACCTCACACTGACCCACAATGTCCAGATCTCACCTAACCTCAGACTGATAGGTATGATCTAATCTCAGACTGACCCACAATGTCCAGATCTCACCTCACCTCAGACTGATAGATATGATCTACCCTCAGACTGACCCACAGTGTCCAGATCTCACCTAACTTCAGACTGACCCACAGTGTCCAGATCTCACCTAACCTCAGACTGACCCACAATGTCCAGATCTCACCTAACCTCAGACTGACCCACAATGTCCAGATCTCACCTAACCTCAGACTGACCCACAATGTCCAGATCTCACCTAACCTCAGACTGATAGATATGATCTAACCTCAGACTGACCCACAGTGTCCAGATCTCACCTAACCTCAGACAGACCCACAATGTCCAGATCTCACCTAACCTCAGACTGACACACAATGTCCAGATCTCACCTAACCTCAGACTGACCAACAGTGTCCAGATCTCACCGAACCTCAGACTGACCCACAATGTCCAGATCTCACCTAACCTCAGACTGACCCACAGTGTCCAGATCTCACCTAATCTCAGACTGACCCACAATGTCCAGATTTCAACCTAAACTCAAACTGACCCACAGTGTCCATCTGTACAGATCAGACGGCTGCTGGTAATCAACCCCACAGAGAGACTGACAGCCACCCAAGCTCTGGCACATCCATTCTTCCACAGTCAGGTAAGGTGATCTTCTAGCGAATATATTTGATTTGTTTTCATCACACTTAGTTGCCTTATGCATTTTCACTTTGCATGTGCAAGCTTCAAGATTTTGCTGAGACTGACAAGTTTTTCACTAGTTTTCAAATGGGTCATTGAAGGACATTTTTAGTGTGTTTTTTTCCCTGGCAGAGGAATGGAGCAGTCATGGGGAGACAAATCTGCAGCAATGCTGGAACTTTGACTAACAACACATCAAGCAATATGGTGTGTTCAGTGTACTACTCAGACTGTTAGCTGTCTGCAGCCCATTAAATTTGTTAAGTCCCTCTGTGGATTCTGGTGCCCCATGTTTCTTTTTAGAGGGAGAGGAACCACTACTTCCCAACAAGCATGTCTTAAAAGATGACTAATTGGAAGTGTCTGCTTCAGAGTCAAAGTTTGTCTACCTGAAAGGTGAGGAACCAACAGTCTGCACGTACATGAGTCAGATCTGTAAAATGGATGTGCATGTAAAAGTCAAGTCACATTCTAGAACAAGACCATAGTCCACAGTGGGAATTGAACCAGAACTTTCATCCGGAGCTTACAGCCGGCAAACGTGAAGAAGAAGAAGAAGTCATTTTATGGGAGAACTTGAGCATCCATAGGTTTGTCTGAAGCACTGTAATGTTGACTTTGATAAGAAAAGGAGAAAAAAAAACCTCATCAGACTGCTGACCATTGGTATTTAACGGTTCCTTAAAAGCTGTTCACTGCGTCATTATTCAGGAGAAAATGATTATATATTCTTTTTTGAATGTCGCAAACCTGTACCAACATTTGTTGACTGTTTATGGTTTTACTTGGCTTCTACTTTTACATCCAGTAGTTTGTCATTGCTTTCCGAATGGTAGCCAATCATACAGTTGTTGAAATCAGTTTAAAGTGGTCTGCTGCCAGATTACAAACTGGTAGGTCAGAATTATGAAACTAAGTTCATAACCCCTTAGACTGGTAACTCTTGCAGTCCCAAGAAATGCCTCATGTGTGTCTCTGTCCCTTGATTTCCCTCCAAAGCATAATGTGCTCTTTTACCTTTAAAATTTTGTAAGAACACACTGAAGAAGTCTGGCTTCCCTTGTGCTTATTAAAGCTGGTGAATTCATGCTTTTCCATCATGGTTTTTCTTCCCGTTTACATCTCCTGTGAAACATTCTGGTGCTAAAAGAGTTCAGATCCAGATTAATACTTCATGAAACAGTGATTATTGGTAGTGAGTTAAGAACAGATATCACAGCACTTGGGACATCCCCATATGTGGTAGTTAAGGACAGATATCACAGCACTTGGGACATCCCCATATGTGGTAGTTAAGAACAGATATCCACAGCACTTGGGACATCCCCATATGTGGTAGTTGAGAACAGATTTCACAGCACTTGGGAGATCATCATATGTGGTAGTTAAGAACAGATATCACAGCACTTGGGACATCCCCGTGTGTGGTAGTTAAGAACAAATATCACAGGACTTGGGACATACCCATATGTGGTAGTTAAGAACATATATCACAGCACTTTGGACATCCCTATATGTGATAGTTAAGAGCAGATATCACAGCACTTGGGACATCCCCATATGTGATAGTTAAGAGCAGATTTCACAGCACTTGGGACATCTCCATAGTTAAGAACAGATATCCCTATATGTAGTAGTTGAGAAAACAAAAAGCATGGGTACTGAAAGGAACATAATTTTGACACTCAAAATCTGTTAATTTAGTGAGTAAAATTTTTCAAAGTACACACAAGAATAACTTCAGGTTCAGCCAGACTTTACAGGTTGCTGATTAAATTGCAACAGAAGGGAAGTTCATACTAGAGACAACATTGTAGATATAGATAATCTATTTCAAGCGAACGAAAGAAGCTGAAGAAGAACAAATATCAAACACTTGGGACTCCCCATATGTGCTCCATCCCAACTTTCAGCAGGCAGTGTAGAGTTCCAGATCTGCTGGTACCAGTAGCATTCTCATCGTGTTATCTGCCTTGCCTTTCCTCTGAGTCTTGGCCTGATCCTCACTGCACCATTCTCTTCAGATCTTGATCTGTTTATGCTTCCATACTGTTCACTTGCTCCCAAAAGGCCTTGATCACATATAGCTTGCCATGCATTGGTTTACCACCACATGGTGCAGAAGCAGCCAATGTGTCTGGCTATTCATTTCCCAACACACGTTAATTATTGACATTGTGATGCTAAAAGAAACCATGGCGGATGATGCTAACAAAGTAATACTTATGTCTAAGGAGCAAGAAGATTACCAGGAGTACGAGCGAACCCGTAGAATATCTCAGATGTTTGCTTTGGTAACTGGGTTATTTTACCTTGTTTGTTTAGGGCTTGCGTTATTTTAACTACTGTTATTTTTTTTAATGATTTCCTGGTTTTTTTTAGTTGTTTATTATACTGTTTGAAGAAAAATAAATGAAAACAAAAGAAGAAAGAAATGCATAATTATCTTATGGCGCTTTACTACTCAAAGAAAATATAAGCATAGCTACCGAAAGATACGTAATTTTGACATTCAAAATCTCTGTACTTCAATGAGTGCGATTTTTCAAATTGCACACAAAATTAACTTAGGATTTAGCCAATCAGTTGATAGTTCGTTTACATATGGGTCTTCAGTAATTTTTAGGCATACGTCCCATCAGCTAATAAAAATGTGTCATCGGATATCTGGTTTTTATTTAACATGAAAGCACCATTGTATAGCTGTGTGTGCGTTTTTTTGTTTTTTTTAATGAAAACACTATCAGATATCTATGCGTCCATGTCTTTCTTTTTTTTAAATAGTATATTATGTTATTTTAACACCTTTTGACATATATATATAGAAGTATACCTCTGTCTACAATGGCAAATCTCAAGAAGTATCATCAGGCTAACTGTATGCTTCCATTATCAGCTGTGAAATATGGACAACAAAATCATAACAGAGATAAAATTCTTTAGAAGAGCTGCTGGAGTAACAATAAAAGATAACATTACAAATGAAGAAATTAGAAAACTAGAACTGAAACCAGTCAACCTGTTTATTTAAAGGCAACAGATGAAATGGTTTGGTCATCTGACGAGAATGCCCAGGTACCGGCTGCCACAAGGAGCCAGGCTGAAAAAAATTCAGTGACATGGAGTTAGAGCAAAATCCCGCAGTGGTTGGAACAACGGCATAAAAGAAATAAAGATCAACTTCGCCAACACAGAAGATCGTTATATTTCCTCTTATCACTTTGATGGGGTAACTGGTGGAAGAAAAAAATATCTGATGAGTTATTCTGAGACTTTATTGTTGAAAGTTACTTTTTCAGACCTAGGCATGTGTTGTTTTAACTCATTATTTCGTAAGAAATTGTTAATTCTCCTAACAAGTATTTCTACCTGAAATAATTAAAACACAAATACTGTGTGACTGAAAGGGTTATCTGTAGTGCAGATTAAGTTGGTATAAAAACTGGCCACTGCATAAGGAGTTAAAGAAAAAAGTGTATAAGTAGAAACTGACAAGGTCAGTTGTTAGGGACTGAAAAGGTTCATTAAGCAAGAGTTTGTGGTACCATTAATATCTTTTGAATGCTATTATTTCTGTTTACAGTTCATTTCTGTTACTGTTCTTTAACCATTCAGTAGCACATCTCTGTCTCATTTGTTTTTACCTGGATGTCTGTCATTTTTCTGTTTTACTTACATTTTTGTTTCCATTTCTTGCTGCCTCTCTTTCTTGTTCCATTCTGTTTTGTTTCCCTATTTTTTAAATTCATTATATTTTCTTTCTAAAAAAAATTTTTTTTTAATCTGTTTCTTACTTTTATTTATTCTGTCTTTATTATGTTGTGTATCCTTACATTTTTATTTTTATTTTTTAAATTTATCATGTTTTCTGTCTTTCTTTATCTTTCTTTCTTTCTGTTTATATCCTAGTTTATTTCAGTTATTTTTATTTTTTCAAATTGTTTTTTCTTGTTTTATTAATTAATATTTTTCCTTCTTTTCTTAGACTTTGCATGCCTAAACATTTTAAAGATTAGAGACGGCATTTATGGCCCTCATCTAGAGACCTCATGACAAAAGAGAAATTAAACTCAGTATTCAGCATGTGTCGGCTCTGTGGCTAATTCGATGCGAACGCTTTGTAATGTGGGGGTGCCGGGTTCGATCCCAGCTGTGGGCCATGCGCCTTGCGTTGGTTTTAACAGTGGTATCAGGGGAGCGGACCGTCCAGAAAGCAATGGCAAACTACTGGTCATAAATTTGCTTAGAGAAACCACACAACAGCCAGGGGCTTTATGTTTTTTGGGTTGGTTCTGCAACATCCTGTAAAGGATATGCAACTAACCTATTCTGCATGTGGGAAGCTAGACTTTCAGTCACGTGTATTTTAACTAGATTTTGCACATGAGAAACTAGGCTAGAAACCTGGCATACGAGAAACTGTGCTAGAGAACTAGCATATGAGAAACTAGGCTAGACAACTGGCATATGAGAAACTAGGCTAGAGAACTGGCATATGAGAAACTAGGCTAGAGAACTGGCATACGAGAAACTGTGCTAGAGAACTAGCATATGAGAAACTAGGCTAGACAACTGGCATATGAGAAACTAGGCTAGAGAACTGGCATATGAGAAACTAGGCTAGAGAACTGGCATATGAGAAACTAGGCTAGACAACTGGCATATGAGAAACTAGGCTAGACAGCTGGCATATGAGAAACTAAGCTAGACAGCTGGCAAATGAGAAACTAAACTAGAGAGCTGGCATATGAGAAACTAGGCTAGACAACTGGCATATGAGAAACTAGGCTAGACAACTGGCATATGAGAAACTAAGCTAGACAGCTGGCATATGAGAAACTAAGCTAGACAGCTGGCATATGAGAAACTAGGCTAGAGAGCTGGCATATGGGAAACTAGGCAAGAGAGCTGGCATATGAGAAACTAGGCTAGAGAGCTGGCAAATGGGAAACTAGGCTAAAGAGCTGGCATATGAGAAACTGTGCTAGAGAGCTCGTATATGAGAAACTAGGCTAGAGAACTGGCATATGAGAAACTAGGCTAGAGAACTGGCATATGGAAAACTAGGCTAGAGAGCTGGCACATGGGAAACTAGGCTAGAGAACTGGCATATGGGAAACTAGGCTAGAGAGCTGGCAAATGGGAAACTAGGCTAAAGAGCTGGCATATGAGAAACTGTGCTAGAGAGCTCGTATATGAGAAACTAGGCAAGAGAACTGGCATATGGAAAACTAGGCTAGACAACTGGCATATGGGAAACTAGGCTAGAGAGCTGGCAAATGGGAAACTAGGCTAAAGAGCTGGCATATGAGAAACTGTGCTAGAGAGCTCGTATATGAGAAACTAGGCTAGAGAACTGGCATATGGAAAACTAGGCTAGAGAGCTGGCACATGGGAAACTAGGCTAGAGAACTGGCATATGGGAAACTAGGCTAGAGAGCTGGCAAATGGGAAACTAGGCTAAAGAGCTGGCATATGAGAAACTAGGCTAGAGAGCTCGTATATGAGAAACTAGGCAAGAGAACTGGCATATAGGAAACTAGGCTAGAGAACTGGCATATGAGAAACTAGGCTAGAGAACTGGCATATGAGAAACTAGGCTAGAGAACTGGCATATGGGAAACTAGGCTAGAGAACTGGCATATGAGAAACTAGGCTAGAGAACTGGCATATGGGAAACTAGGCAAGAGAGCTGGCATATGAGAAACTAGGCTAGACAACTGGCATATGGGAAACTAGGCTAGACAACTGGCATATGTGAAACTAGGCTAGAGAGCTGGCATATGAGAAACTAGGCTAGAGAGCTGGCATATGGGAAACTAGGCTAAAGAGCTGGCATATGAGAAACTGTGCTAGAGAGCTCGTATATGAGAAACTAGGCTAGAGAGGTGACATATGGGAAACTAGGCTAGAGAGGTGACATATGAGAAACTAGGCTAGAGAGGTGACATATGGGAAACTAGGCTAGAGAGCTGGCATATGGGAAACTAGGCTAGACAACTGGCATATGTGAAACTAGGCTAGAGAGCTGGCTCCAATGTAGCGGAAACTTTTTTGTCTTATAACTTGTTACTGGAGGTCTTTAATTTCTTTACTTCTTTTGAATTCACCCCATTTTATTTTAATTTTTTTCCTCAGAAATTTATTTTAGAATGCTTTTAACTTTCTTTTCTGAAGCAAATAATTTTTTACATGGTGGGGGAGCCGGCTCACACCCAGCCCACCTCCTTTCTCATCCTGGCTTGGGACCGGCAGTGATGGGGGAGATTAACCAGATATGCCCTCAACCTGTTGGCCATTTTCTAACAGAATACCCTATGTGGGTCTCTCATATTCATATGAGTTATGTGTTCATTCAGGTATTCTCGAGACGCTAATGACACATCCATGGGTGCTCTGATTTCTCAAACCCCAACATAAAAATAGTTTCCTGATGTCAAAAATGTCAGTTGTGTGCTGGTTGACAAGACTTCTTCATGTGAATTTGAGTATTGTAATCTGTCATTTTGGTCTTTCTGTCATCCACAGATTGAAGAGCTTTCCAAGTTTAGAGCACGCAGAAAGTTCAGAGTGAGTAAATCTAGAAATACTTGTCCAGTGTTGACACTTGATAGAAAAATGAAATTATTATTGTTGTTTTCCTAAATAGATTTTTTTTCCATATTTTGTTTTTCAGCATTCCAAACTATTGGGATTCATTAGAGCTGATATCACCCACGACCATTCACATTTGTGATTGACCTTCTCTTTCATTTTGGTGATTCTGAATGTATGTAGGTCTGCTTTATGTTGCCTCTCCACTATCATCGTGGTCTGCCTCATGGTTTATTCTCATTGAAATCTTTTGTGTACTTTAGTCAAAGTAATAACATGGCTAGAGACAAAGAACTTTACCAGTGAATGCTTTCTGCAAGACTCATTGAGTATGCTCAAGAAGGTAGAGATGGACTGGGTCCAAAGACAGCGTGGTTGCAGTCTGTGAGGCCATTGTGGCTGATATACATATCAAGTTTTATATTTGTGCCATTGCTCACAGGCTGCCAAGGAAATGAGCAAGCTGATAGGCTTGTAGATAAAGCTACCATGGAGGGCTGATGAGCTATGGACCAGGCTGATAAACTGCTGTACCTGGTACTCACTGTCTGTAACCTCCAGCAGAAAGTCCTGGTTGTTCAACCATTTGGACTGGCTGACCTGATTTTTGCATGTACATCTGTTGTTCTGGCTTCTTTTTTGTGCAGCTGCTTGTTTCTCTCTCTCTCTCTCTCTCTCTCTCTCTCTCTCTCTCTCTCTCTCTCTCTCTCTCTCTCTCTCTCTCTCTCTCTCTCTCTCTCTCTCTCTCTCTCTCTCTCTCTCTCTCTCTCTCTCTCTCTCTCTCTCTCTCTCTCTCTCTCTCTCTCTCTCTCTCTCTCTCTCTCTCTCCTCTCTCTCTCTCTCTCTCTCTCTCTCTCTCTCTCTCTCTCTCTCTCTCTCTCTCTCTCTCTCTCTCTCTCTCTCTCTCTCTCTCTCTCTCTCTCTCTCTCTCTCTCTCTCTCTCTTCTCTCTCTCTCTCTCTCTCTCTCTCTCTCTCTCTCTCTCTCTCTCTCTCTCTCTCTCTCTCTCTCTCTCTCTCTCTCTCTCTCTCTCTCTCTCTCTCTCTCTCTCTCTCTCTCTCTCTCTCTCTCTCTCTCTCTCTCTCTCTCTCTCTCTCTCTCTCTCTCTCTCTCTCTATCTATATCTCTATATATATATATATATATATAGTGAAATAATAACGAGGGAGATTGAGGATAGACTAGGAATACTAGTTGGAGGTTATAATGTAAACAGTCTTCATTTTGCAGATGATACAGTATTAATAGCTGAAAACACAAAAGACCTACAACAACAGTTAGACATGACTGACTGACTTTCTACCCCACCAGGACATCACACAAGCGATAAACACCCGATGACACAAAGTGCCACCATATGGATGAGGATCGCCGTGGAGATTTCCCAGAAACCGCGTTCAGACAATTGGCCATATTTATGGCCTGCCTATATTGCGGCCCCTGGCAAAAGCCAGAGTGGGGCTTCAAATAACAAAAAATTTCATCCTAAAAAGGACGAAACTGGATGGTAAAGACACAGTTAGACATGATGGTACTAGAGTGCAAAATAGTGACTTTCCTTGAATGTCAAGAAAACAGAAACAATGGTTATATCAAAGAAGAAGATAACTCCAAAATGTGACATAGCAATAGAGGGGAAGTTACTTAACCAAGTCAATTAATTCAAGTATTTGGGGACATTCATAACATCAGATGGACAATGTGTGACAGAAATTAAGAGCAGAATTGGCCAGGCAAAAGCAGCATTCCAGAAGATGAAAGGTATATTGTGCAATAAAACACTCTCATTAAACATCAGAAAAGGGTGTGGTTCTTGAGAAGAATGTTGTGAATACCTTGGACTGCCAGAATAACTAACGATTTTCTGGAAGTGGCTAATGAAAGTAGAACATTATATGCAACAATGAGAAGGAGACAAACAAAGTTCTTTGGTAATGTGAGGAGAAAAGCAGCACTGGAAAATATTGTGACGGCTAGAAAGATCATTGGCAAAAGAGGCAGAGGCAGACCAACAGAAATAATGGTGGATGGCTTAAGACAGTGGCATGGAGGAATATCATCAGTGGAATTGATCCAGAACACCAAAGACCGAGATCTGTGGTGATGCATGAACACCTATGCAAGCTGGCAAGGCACTTGGGGATGATGATGATGGTTGTTCCTTGCCGCTCGGGTAGGTGTAGACTTTGAAGGAAGCTGCCAATTAGTTGACTACGATATGATTGTTGGGAGGCAGTGGGTCTGTTCTTGTTTTCACTGTAATGGGGCCCCGGAAGCACACAGGCTTCAAGGGCCCCATTGTGGGATAAACAAGAAAAGATCCACTGCCTCTGTGACAAATAAAAATAACTGACGTAACTGACGTAAGAGTTGACTACTTGGGGTTTTCCTTCAAGGTCGGGGAGTATTCGCCTGAGAGGCAAGGAACCAACAGTCTGCACACAAATAAGTCAGATCTGTAAAACACAACACAACACTCAGGTTCTGGAATATGTCTAAAGTCCCGTAGGGGGTGAACAACCAGAACTTTCCATCAGATTACAGCAGCTAAACACGGATTAGAAGAAGACATTTACTAAGATAACCTGAACATCTGTGGGTTTTCTGAGAGCACTGTGCTGTCAGCTCTTTAAAAATGGAGGCAGGTGATATCTGTAGCATTGAACCTCAAGGGCTCGGAATGCTGAAGAAGAAGAAAACTGATGAAATTTTCAGTGTGTCTGATGTGCTGTTTATTGCATCACTATTCAAATGAGGTTAATCACATATTCTTTTACTGGACATCAAAAACCAACCCCGACTTGTACTTTTACATCCAGTAGTTTCTCATTTAGTCACTCCCATTTTCATCACATTTGCTATGAAGGCTTCTCATGATTGACTGCTTCCGTCAACAGTGGGCTGCACTTCTGGCAGGGGACTGTTAGTGTTGGCATATCTCTCAGCTGCCTTGTGCGTTTATTTTGTGGTTGTAGGCTTCCTTGTTGCACTAGCATAAACATTATGGTTTTCCAAATTTTGCACTTTGTCAAGTTGGACGGGAAGATTAAAAGCGACACCTTACTTTCCACCTATTATTCCAGGTCGGAGTACAATGTGTGTATTTTCTTCGGAGACTGATCTTCTACTACAAGCACCCGCCGCCCATCTCCATGAACACTGTGATGGACAACCCCTACAGCATTAAAATCCTGCGTAAGGTCATAGACACTTGCGCTTTCGGCATGTACAAACACTGGGTCAAAAGGGTCGACAACCAGAACCGTGCTGCCCTGTTTGAACACTCACTACGAGATGACTGGAAGCATATGATGATGACAGTGCATGGTATGCAAATCTAGTATACATTAGACTCATTGTTTACATTTTGTGGTTTTGAATTTGTTGAGTTAAGTAATTAATTGAATCTTTAAGTTATTATTCAGAGTTCTTTTCTTCAGAATTTAATAATTGTGTTTGTAATTTTCTATGATATTGTTTCAGATATTTCAGGGAATGTGTTTATACTTTTATATTCTCCACACTGTTTTATGAGTGTAGAATGTATGGGTATTTTGCGAGTGAAGGAAACCTGTATTTTGAAAATGTTGAAAGTCTGTGTACTTAACAAATTCTGGGTACTTTGAATGTAGAAAGCCTAGGTATCTGAGGAATGGGGAAAGTTTGGGTAATTTTTGGGAATGTTGGAAGTGTAGGTACTTTGAAAATGAAGGAAATCTTAGTACTTTTTGGTGATTTAGAAAGTCTGTATACTTTGAAAATGTAGCAAATGGGTACTTTGGGAATGTGGAATGTCTGTGTACTTTATGAATGTAGAAAGTCTGTATACTTTGAAAATGTAGCAAATGGGTACTTTGGGAATGTGGAATGTCTGTGTACTTTATGAATGTAGAAAGTCTGTACTTAGAAAATCTGGCTACTTTGTATGTAAAAAGTCTAGGTTCATTGAGATTATAGGACAAATTTGGCATACTTTAGGCACATGATATATTGTCAGGAAAATAAATACTAGATCAAGTGTATTGTATATGTGTGAGTATAAAATATGAAAACAGGTGCGTTTGTGTATTCGTCCACTATCCCACAAATTATGAGCCAAGTTTGTCATCTATATGTGTGCTCTACCACAAATTTTGGACTAAATATGTCATATGTATGTGCACTCTATCACAAATTCTGGACCAAGTATGTCATCTGTATGTGTACTCTACCACAAATTCTGGACCAAGTATGTCATCTGTATGTGTACTCTACCACAAATTCTGGACCAAGTATGTCATCTGTATGTGTACTCTATCACAAATTCTGGACCAAGTATGCCATCTGTTTGTGTACTCTACCACAAATTCTGGACCAAGTATGCCATCTGTTTGTGTACTCTACCACAAATTCTGGACCAAGTATGTCATCTGTAAGTGTACTCTACCACAAATTATGGACCAAGTATGTCATCTGTTTGTGTACTCTACCACAAATTCTGGACCAAGTATATGGTGTATATGTGTACTTTTCCACAAATTATGGACCAAATATATGGTGTATGTGTGTACTCTACCACAAATTCTGGACCAAGTATGTCATCTGTATGTGCACTCTACCACAAATCATGGACCAAGTATATGGTGTATATGTGTACTCTTCCACAAATTATGGACCAAGTATATGGTGTATGTGTGTACTCTTCCACAAATGCTCGACCAAGTGTCGTATGCGTACTGTACAACAAAAATGGGAACCATGTATGTTATTTGTTTTTGCACTGTCACACAAATTGTTGACTGAGAATGTCAATATGTAATTCCCCATCAGTTTTTGTTGAATGTTTGCCTCATCTCATCATCATCATCATCATCATGTTCCATGCCGGTAAGTGTAGGCTGTCATGTTTTGTCATCTCACATGATTACCAGAATCACGGATCAGTTCAATGTTTCTGTCTGCCCCATCCGTCTGGCCAGGTCATCCAGGTATTAATCT